GCTTTTTCATCACTACAATAATGTATTAGAAGGATGTTCTCTGGTTCAATTTATTTGGTGGCCTGTTCAAATTACAGTGTTACATGTTTTTCTATATTTCATATTGTTCCAGCCATCTGATTAAATTTATTTACTAAACTCAATTGGTGGATGGTGGCTAGCAGTGGAATCCAGGATAACGCGCATTTCGTCTTATTTGGGACTCGTCGTCTGGATGTACATGCATTCCTCAGTGAGTGATGAAGTTCCAGATGACGAATCCCAAATAGGACGAAATGCGCATTCTGGATTCCAATGCTAGTCACCACCCACAAATTAACTTCTAAGTGCATGCTCAGATATCGTCAAAGCATCTGCACAAAAAGTTGACATGTCAACATGAGAACAAGCACTTCAGTTCAATCAGTCAAAGGGAAAGTTTAAAATTGAATCAAATTACTTACTAAACGTTTAATATTAATGAAAAGAATGAAAATATCGTATGGGATAGAATAGTGTCTTCTAGTGAATGATACTGCGTTCAGTGAGATGATGTCAATTCTCAATATCTGATGTTGAATGGTTGGAGGTGATGCAGATTTCGAACTCCTAGCACTCTTCAGGAAGGCATGTCTGTTATCTCAAGAGAAACGATTGGTTTTTCGAAGATTCACGAGCCAGATCACCTAGAGATGTCATTAGTGATGCCTGTAATGCATAAATTGCTCGGTGACGAGGAGAGATGTTAACTAATTTCATGTGCATATTCTCTGGTACTGAGGCACTCAGTATAAACAACAAGATTTGGATTTTCGAAACAAATGTGAAGTCACACAGTTCTTCTTTATAGGTCAGAAACTTGCATTACGCGTCACAAAAAGCATTCTCAACTGCCCACCGTGCCAGACTTTTATCAACAGCCACCCACTTCAATGGCTCCATATTGAACATCAAAAGGTCAGTCAGAAGCAATTAGTAAGAAGAAACTCTGGGAACAGGCGAACGAATAACCGATTGCTCAAGAGGTTTATAAAAAGTGGTGATGAGTCAGGCATATACCACTAAGGAGTCCACTGGGTGACATCACGCTCACTGTAGGCCATTTTTAGAGCGGGAGGTTAATGGAAAACGACGAGTGAGTGCGTGTGTTTGTGTGTGACATAGAGGAGATCCTGTGGGAAGAGTAGATGAGAGATTACAGGCAGTCGTGGACCCAGCTGAAGAGGATAGCAGAGAATACGACAAAGTCGGGACATGCTGCTGAATACGTATATTGCCCTTGGTGGAACTCATTGATTAATAATATTACAATAATTCTGGTGCAAACTAAATCCTGTCGATCACTCATGCTAGTTGTTCATCACACTATGTGACTCGTTATCGCTCTAGAAGATTTCTTACAGGGTAAATGTTTCGCATTCAAACGGTCTAACAGTTCTGTATCTTTTGTATTTGTTGATGACTTGACACGAACTGACTAAATGAAAAGTTAACTCAATGAAAGAGTATACAAAGTAAAGAGACAGAAGCCGAACAACGGTAAACGGAATAATGATTAAAAATACATCTACACATATGGCAGTATGAATAAATTAGTGGTAATAATAATACCCTTATTTCAAACAGAACATTTGATAAAGTGTGGAATTCTCAGAAATGTAGTACAATATCCCATCCAATTGTGTCTCCTTAGACTACACAATGAATGGAAAAATAAATACCAAGATGTTAACAATAACAGTGACGTTAACAAAAGTGTGAACGATACTGCGAATGGGAAATACAATTTAATTTGCTGTTACGCAAACAGTTAGTGGTTTTATTTTGCTCACCAAGTAAAATGCGTGCAAAACGAGATATTATGGGGTGTTTACACTCATTTGTCCAAGCGTAAAGTCTTTTTATTATTGCTTCTAGTCCTACCTATCTGATGAGATTCAAGAAGTGAGTGAGAGAAAGTTGTGCACAAAAAGGGTGTTCAGAGTGATTGAGTAGACATTAGGCGGAGTGGGGGTGGACAGTTGAGGAGAATAAATTGAATACTGCCAGTGTTTCGAGAAATCTCCACCGATATGTTCTTAGCGTCCCCATACGACTTCAGCCATGCACTCCGTACCTGCCTACAACATTCAGATTGAAAGCCGATAACTGAATGAACTGTGGCTGCGTTGTGGTCAGGATAGACCTAATAACGAAACTGTATACTACTGAATAACTCAGAAAAGTAGTTGTACACCAGTTATATCAAAAAGTAGAGTATTTTAAACTGATTCCTCACTCTCAATCAAGTCAACTGGGTTGGGTTGAGTTGGGAGTGTAGTGTTTGGGTAACTTCGATGTGGCTGACGTAAGGAGTATCAAACTACCAATCTGAGTCAATCAGTAGTAACCAGTTTGATGCTAATTGACTTATTTTTGATTACAGCTTGATTCCACACCGTATTTTTCGGTACACGTATGAAATTTTCAGCATGCGATATCGGTAGCCCATATGTTTGCAGGTCGACCATGGATATCAGGTGTGCGTCGGCGGTGGATCGAACTTCGGACCATGTGCATGGTTGGCAAGAGTCCTGACCACTGTGCCACCGACGCTTGCTGCCTTCTGTAAAGATTTTTGGTGTACTCAGCAGACTGTAGGGAAATTTCATCTCCTCGAACATATGAAATTTGCAGATTCAATTTATATCTTATAATTTCAAGGAATCAAACCGATTCTGATTCTTCCTCTTCAGAAAGTTGAACTTGTGATATCTGTGACTGAAGTCGAGTATATTTTCAATCTTTTCTAATTACGAATCTTCCATCACCAAATTTTTGGCAATTTTGAGAAAAATTCAAATGTATAAAAGTTATGTGTAGATGACACCTTTATTATTTGTAATAGTGATTGTAATTTGAATAATATATATCAAATGCATTTAATGGTTACCATCCAGCGATAAAATTCACACTCGAAATGGAGAACGAGTCTAGTATTCATTTCTTCGATGTGAAGTTATCAAGAAGGGCTGATGGAACTCTGAAGAGATCGATTTATCGAAAGCAGTCATGGAATGGTCAACTGACGAATTTCTACAGCTTGGTACTCATTGGTCGAAAACGAAACCTGGTCCGGTCGCTTGCCACTCGCATTCGGCGCATATTTAGACTTCATACTGTGAAGGATGAGTTAATTCATTTGAGGAAAATCCTAATAGAAAATGGATTTTCACAACGTTTTATAGATAAGAATATACATTCAAATACTACGAAACGTGACTTATCATCCGAACCCAAGAAAATACTGTATATGAGCTTGGAATTCAAAGGTGACTTAGCTTCCGATATCATGAGAAGAAGTATCTCACAGTTCCTGAAAAGAACATTCCCTGCTGCATCTTTGAGAATAGCCTTTACCAGTCAAACATTATTGTTCAATAACCTGAAGAACAAGATACCGCTGTTGACCAAATCTATGTGCGTTTATCAATTCACCTACTCATGTGGAGCTTGGTATATCGGTCGTTCGACTCGAGTTTTGTCCAAGAGGGTGCAAGAACACTATCCTGCATGGTTATGAAGAGGTGGAAGTGGAGCAATAAGAAGCGCGATCATTGAACATCTGGTCGATAATGATCACCCTATCTCTATAGCCTCCGCCTTTAAAGTCATCTACAAGGCAAACAGTAATTTACCCAGATCACTACGTACCCGACTCATCTGTATTGCTGAAGCAGCTTTGGCTATCGAAACAGAAAAGCCAGATCTCTGTATACAGAAAAAGTTCGTTCAACTCCTCCAACTTTCATGGTCTTAATCCCTCTATGCTAAAGTATGGTAATCCCTAATCATATTTTAGCTCTACCAATTTTTCATTTTTTTCATTTTGTCTATTCAATTTGTATACTCTTCCTTTATTACGTCAATTGTAACTATTACTATTCTCACTTTGAACTGTCCCCGGTATTATTTCACTTGTTCCACTTGTCATTTTAAATCAATTCTGTTTTGCAACGTTAAATTCTATGTTATCAAATTTCACACAATATTACGTAACGTTTTTATTTTATTCGATTTGTCTACTAATCCTATAATTGCACACCCTTTTACAAGTTCTATACATCCTATGAATTATTCTATATATGACATTAATTGTTTTGCCACTTGACATTCAACTATGATTATAATCACAAATATTTTAATTGCATTTCATACTACTATTATTATTATTTCATGCATTCACACCTATGATTCAATTCCCTCACCTGATATAACTTCTGTAAAACCATACACGCATACGATTGTACAGCTTGATAGTAAATTCGTTGTTGAAAAGAGTCTCTTCGCTGAATCACCACTTGTTTTGATTTTCTTTATGTTACAATGGGAATTTTCCATGAATTAAAAAATTTCTTATCGATGACGTCTCATGGTTCACTTTTGTAGAATAATGTCAGTTGAGACTATTGAATCGCATTTTTCAGAAATTCGTAATGATGATAGATTCTAAAATATTTACTCAGACATATATCATGTATGCTACTTAGTGAATAATCACGCTGATAGGTTGCTGAGACGTCTGTAAATGAGACCGGAGTCGGTGGAGAATCGACTGTGACTGAATCAGACAGTCAGGCGATCGTGAAACAACATGATATAACGTTAGTGTTGGGTAAGGTTGACATGAAGCGGTAAAAAGCCGTTGACCCATATTTCTGTGTTTTAAATAGCAGCTTTGAAGGAATTGATGCTTCCCAAGGGAATTCAAATGAAGTGATAGACGTTACCGTTAGCAATTCAGGCATTAGCTGACCTTCTGTAGGATTCTTCGTTCCAAGTGGAACATAAGACTTCAAGCGTTATAAACTTTGAAGTTTTAGAAGTGCTTGTGTTATTTACAATCCTGACACCCAACCTTCCCTCTTTTCCGGACTAACTACTGACTGGCGTCGGTGACCAGGAATCGAACCCATAACCACTTATGTGGCTGGTGAATAATAAAAAAATCGATTCAAACCAAAAAAAACAGATGAACTTACATATAATCGTGGTTTACTAATTGGACTTGTATGAAGCATAAAGTCAGCAAATGTTGGTATATTTAATTCAACTTGCAACTTTTTAATTGAATCCATCCATGACCAATTCTTTTCTACATGGAATTTATCAGACAGTTGTGAATCCCAAAACAAGCGTTTTGGCCAAGCTGTTGTCTGATTGACAAGACCAGCACCAGTTTCATTTGTGGCATTTTTATCCAATAACCAGATCCCACCAATAATTGGTGCCGCCTTTTTTATCAATGGATGTGCACCAAGCCAATTTCTTATTGTTGTTGATGCACATGAATCAAAAAATTGTGCTACTTTAAATTTTGCTGAATTTCGTTCCCCGTATGAATTTTGATAAATATTACGTAATGAATGAATGATGGCGTGAACATTAACTTCAGAGAGATGTTCAATCATAGGTCGATCAAAGCGTAGCAGACGTCGACTTCGACTGCTTTTAAAATAATCTTGTATAGTGTCTTTACCGAATGCTCCAGAGATAACACGATGTGCTTGAACTGCTGGTTGTTCAGCATCTTGATCAGGATGAAATGGAGTGTAGTATGAACCACAAGCGTATTCATAAAAATTTTCACATGGTGACACTGATGTATTCATATGGGATACAATAGAACTTGATGAGAGGAGACATTCTTTACTATAACATTGATTACGATTAAACCATTTTTCATTTTGTTCACGTTTCCAAAAAACTACTACTAATATAAATAAGATAAAGAGTAGAATTGGTCCAATGATAGAGAATAGCACTTGAAAACGTTTAAAGGCATCAGTGATTTGATTACTTCTACGTATGGATATTCGATGTTGGATTGAATCAAGCATTGTTGTTTTAAGATTATTAACACGTTCAAATAAGTAACCTTTTTTACCATTATGCTCTTGTGCATCGGATGTGTTCACAATGGTAATATTCTCAGTATTATCACTAAAGACTTGATATTTAAAATTTGCACCTAAATTCAGTGAATTTGTTGGTGAAGATGCAGATTTTGATACGGATATTACACTATCAGTCATATTGCGCGGGAAAATAGAATAGTAAAACAAATAAGTATGGCGGAAAATTTAAAATTCAAGTGTTAAATGTTAAAAGTGAAACGTTTGATAGTTGAGTAGATTGTGAGATGTTCGGTTTTTACAAAATGACAGTAATGTCACTCGCTTGCATGCAAATATATATTTATATATATATGTTCAACAAATAGATCAAGTTTTTCTATATGTGCTCAAAACTGTGCTGTTTAGCATACGCACACAGAAATGCACACACGCACACAAACACACACAACAAGTAAACTCATAGACACACATCTATGCATATCAATTCAATGTAGTTAGCTGATATTAGGAAGCATATAGATGACATATGTTGAAAAAATTAGTTTGGTTTGGTAAGCATGATTATTCATTGAGTGGTCAGTGTGCAGAATTGTAACATTTTGATTGGATGACATAATCATCTCTGAATGAGAAAACAGACTGTGAGTAACTGCACACACACACACACAAACATAAATACATACATATATGAAGACATGTTGATACATAAACTAAATAATGCATATCATTATAAGTATGAAGTCATCAGAAGGGTTAGAATTTAGGAAACGTCGGTGGCACAGTGGTTAGGACTCCCGCCAGCCATGAACATGGTCTCGAGTTCAATCGCCGGCCGACGCACACTTGATTTCAATGGTCGGCTTGCAAAATTTGAGCTACCGATATTACATGCTGAAAATTTCATACTTGTCCCAAAGATACGGTGTGGAATCAAGCTATAATCAAAATGAAAAAAATCATATGGCTTCAGTAATACATCTCCACTTTGTCCTATTCTCTGGTGTCATCTTTAGATGGGCCCAAAATTGACCAGAATCTCTCCTCTCATTAATATCAACATCAAACGCAAACGCCCACTTGTCACTTTCTATTCATCTTCCACAATAATGATGGCCTACATTGAGTGCGATGTTATTCAACCATCACCTCATTGGTGTGGCCACAGTTCATCCAGTTATCGACTTTTAGTGTGAGTGATGTAAGGTGGTATAGATTGCATGGATGAAGTCGTTTGAGGACGTTGAAGATTTCTTGCAACATGGCACTATTCTACCCATTCTCCTCAACTGTCCACACCCACTCCGCTTAATGTTTACTCAATCACATTGCAAAAGGCACTAAAAGCTGGCGTTTGTAGAAGTGGTGTGTCGCTTAGCTAACTCGTTAACATTGTTGTAGACACACTGCTGAAAGGAGGCAACAAATTGGCAAATATCATCTTAACGGACTCTGAGCACTCATTTTGTACACAACTTTCTCTCACTCACTCCTTGAATTTCATCAGGTAGGTAGGACTAGAAGCAATTATAAAAAGACTTAACACTTGACAAATGAGTGTAAACACGCTATGGTACCTCGTTTGGCACGCACTTGGTGAGCAAAATGAAACTACTAACTGATTGCGTAACAGCAAAATAAACGGTATTTCTCATTCGTAATATCGCTAATGCATTGTTGCCACTAATAATTCGGCTTCTGTCCCCCTGTTTTGTATGCTCTTTCGTTGTGTTAACTTTTTTATTTAGTCATTTAGTGACACCTCATCAGCAAATACAGAAAATCCAGAATTCTTGGATTCTTTGAATGCTAAGCATTCACCCAGTAAAAACGCTTTTACAGCGATAGCGGGTCACATAGTTTGATGAACAACTAGCATGAGTGATCGACAGTCTGCGCCAGAATTATTGTAATATCATTATTACTCAATGGGTTCCACCAAGGGCAATATACGGATTCAGCAGCACGTCTCGACTTTGTCCTATTCTCTGATGTCACTTTTAGCTGGTTCCAAGACTGCCTATAATCTCTCATCTCCTCCTCTCCACACGATCTCCACGATGTCACCCTCAAACACACATGCCTCACTCGTCATTTCCCATTCACCTACCATTCGAGTGATGGCGGGCATCAAGCGCGATGTCATTCGACAGTCTCCTCAGTGTCATGTACCTAATCCATCTTCACATTTTTCCAAATTTCTTTTGAGTAATCATTTCTGCTCTGGTTTGTTCCCAAAGTTTCTTCTTGCTAATTGCTTCTGACTAGCCTTTTGATCTTCAGTATGGAGCCAGTTTGCCAGAGTAGGTAGTTGAAAATGCTTTTATGACGTGTAGTGCAATTTTTGTGACTGGTGTAGTACAACCGAATGACTTCACAGTTGTTTTGAAAATCCAAATCTTGTTCTTCATGCTGAGTGCAGAGGATTTACAGATTGATTTGAGATTGATGAAGGTCTGTCTTACCTTTCTGATCCTGTCTGGCTTCTATACCATCATGAATTCTGCCTGCTTGCCTGACGTTGAAACAACGCTTGTTGTCTAGATAATTAAAGTAAGGAAGCAACCTCTTTTGAATTTCTCCCACTAATGGTGATCACTGCTAGCTAGTAAATTAGGCGAGGTTGAACATTATCCTAAGCGTCGGTGGCACAGCGACAGAGTGCTCGTCAACCACGCAAGTGGTCCGGGGTTCGATCCCCGGCTGACGCACTCCTTTACCCCGCTTAGCCAGTAACATGACTCGTAAATAGGGAAGGTTGGGCTAGGCGTGAGGCTAGTAAACCCATCGCGTAAGAATAAACACCACTGCTACCGAAACTTCAAGCCTTTAGCTTGGAGCCCTACGTTCCACTGGGCAAGTAAAGGAATAAAATAAAATTTTAATTAATAATATTTACTCTTGTTTGAAAATCACTGGATAAAATAGAAATTGACAGTATATCCTGAGGTACACAGCTGACTGGTCGACAACCTAAAAAATATCTGCACATCCAAAAGTCCAAAGCCAACTAAAAATGTGGACGAGTACGTCTAGTCGCCCCACGAGAGAATGAAATAATGAAAACAATAAGAAATGAGGCTAAGTTGCTGCATTATGTTCGATGAAAACTAAGATAGCCAGGTAACTTAAGCAGGCCACCAAAAAAGTATCAATATCTTATTTGTTTCGACTTTTCATGGGATCTCTTCAGAACCTTTGATTATATGGTGAAGACATTCAACATTCGAAACCACTTGTTTCCTCTTATCTGTTATACAAGGTGCAGATCTCCTGAATCAGTAGGTAGCCTGGTGTGAATAAAACTTCGACGTTTAAAGAAATTGAGATTTTGTGTATATCTCTATGGGAAAACCACAAACTGGGATTTAAATGCATCTGGCTGACGAGTCTCAAGTAGGACGAAACACCTATTGTGGTCTTTGTTGATAGGCAACATCGACCAAATAGCAGACTTTGTAGTAATCATATTAACAATAATGCTATAAATATAAAGCAATATACTTACATATTATGAATACGATTTAAACAACCTCTTTTCTGACCAAATAAAGTATAATTATATTTCAATAGTTTACACACAATGATAAGTTTGTTACTGGCATTTGTCTCTTCACCCAACACCCACATTAAATATGGTAAGAATGAATTTTTGTATCTAGTAACTGTAGAAGCATAAATTCTTGTTAAATTACTTCAGTTTCTACCTGAAGAGATGCAAGAAGAAAGTTGGGAATGAGGAGGATGTTCTGTATCAGACAAGTTGAATTTAGCCAACCGCATGCAAGAATTGAAATGTCAATCAACCGAACAATCCCATTTAGTTGAGGCAAAAGGACACCAATAACCATCCCTCCATTATTATTATTGTTCCCTTGGGTTCCTAGTGGAACATAGGGCTTCAACTACACGTCTCCACTTGTTTCTGTCCTCTAGTGTACTTTTCACCTGCATCCATGTTAATCCATACTTTTTCAGCTCCTCTTCACACGATCTCCTCCATGTCACCCTTCGACGTCCCACTCGCCGCTTCCCTTTCGGGTTCCACTCGAGCGTTGGCCTGACGCGCGATGTCACCCAGTGGCCTCCTCAGCGAGTGTCCAATCCATCTCCACTTTCTCCTGCATATTTGTTGAGCGATTGGTTCTTGCTTCGTTTGTTCCCATAGCCACTTGTTTGTGATTCTTTCCGGCCATCTAATCTTCAGTATAGAACGAAGACAGTTGTTGATAAAGGTCTGCAACAGGCTGTTGGAAATATTCTTTGTGACCCGCCAAGTTTCTAATCCGTATAGAAGAACTGACTGACTTGACGTTTGTATTGAAAATCCGAATTTTGTTGTTGATGGTGAGTGACGAAGATTTCCAGATTTGTTTCACTTCTCCGATTCCAGCAAAAAATAAGGTTATTGTTTGTATTTTTAGAATTTTTAATATGTTTGTGCGTTGAAGTTTTTGAAGCAATTTGCTAGCACCAAGCCTCAACCCTCCCTCTTTATTAGGGCTTGGGACCGGCTAGAAAACTAGTGAGCTAGTAATCTAGGCGAGGTTAGTAACAATATTAGTGTTTCTTAAATAATATTGATTTGTAAAGTAAGATCACAATGGAATTACAGTTCATTAAAGATGCTTAAATAATAATAATAATAAAGATATAATAGTAATTAGAATATCAACTAAAATAAGGAAAATTCAACAAAAATTGAGGATCATTCGAACCTAGATGGCCAAGGCTAGGACAAAGTCTGAAATAACTTA